TATGAAGACCTAACCATCTGGGAATACAAAACTCGGTGAGCTGACTAAGGCTACTACGATAGGCTATCCACTCGTGCAGTAAATGGGATGGAAGCTCATCGTCCCATCCGATGCCTGACAACCAAATTTTCTGAATGAGTATTTTAGCTGTTATTATGACAGGAGAGATCCATCCTAATGGGTCATATAGCCTGGCGATGTCAGATATGACCTTTCGCTTGGTCACGGGGACCTCCAACTGAGGAAGTTGAACAGTGTACTGAAATTTATCAGTTGATCTATTCCACGTTAATCCTAAAATTTTTAACACCTCATCTGTTTTCAATTCCAAGCTGTCTTTTATGTCGGTTCTTCCTTCACTTATTTCGTTCAATAGCTCATTACTATTGCTGGACCACTTCTGAAGTTGGAAGCCTCCACGACTCAGCAATTGGTTCATATTCCTGTGCAATTCCACACCTTCGGCTACAGAGTCGCAACCTGTCATAAGGTCGTCGACATAAAAATCCGTCAGCACGCGGTCAGTAACTGAAGAAAAGGTCTTTCCCTCATCGTACACAAGCTGTTGCAATGATCTTACAGCTAGATACGGTGCTGAAGATGTACCGAAGGTGACACGTAATAAACGTAGGTGTTGCAAATCCTCATTTGGGTTTTCCCGCCACAGAATTCTTTGATAGTCGGTATCATCTTGAAACACCTTAACCTGTCTGTACATTTTCACAATGTCAGCGACCAAAGAAATATGATGACGACGCCATCGCATGATGATATGTCGCAGATCAGGTTGAAGTGTTGGGCCGACCATCAAATCATTGTTCAATGATACGCCATTCTCACCAGGGCAAGATGCATCAAACACGACCCTTACCTTGGTCGTACTTTTGTCGTTCCTCAGAACGGCATGGTGGGGCAAGTAGACAGCGCCTGGTTTTTTAATTTCTTTTTCCGAAACATGTTCCATATGGCCTAAGTCTACATACTCTCTTATGACGCTCGCATATTGGCTTTGAAAATTTGTGTCACGTTGAAACCTTCTTTCTAAAGCATAAAAGCGTTTGCGCGCTATGTTTTCCGAACCACCATATTTGCATGCTGGATCTCCAGATTTGAAGGGAGTTTGACGATGTATCGTCCTGACTCATCCCTTCGTGTGGTTTCAGAAAATATTTGTTCGCATTTATTTTCTTCGTCAGTTAGATATTTTTTACGTAACAAAGAATCATCTGATTCTAATTCCCAAAACCTTTTTGAGCTGCTCATTGTCGTTCATTTGAACGTGTAGGCCAATGATGATGTTGTGACACATCTTAGAACTATGGTGATTGGATCCATGATTATGAACATTGCCAGATAAAATCCACCCTAGTGCTGTCTTTTGCGCAAGAGGAGCCCGGGTGGGCCTTTCATTAATCCTTCCAGCAAAATCTCGCTGTACACACATGTTCCCAGTATTAAGTCAATTTTATTTGGCATTCCGTATGTTGGATCTGCCAAATCCATTTTAGAAAGTGTTGATGAAACATGAACTATCTTCCTTTCGGGAAGCAGAGACGTTAATTTATTTAAAACATACGCCTTGGTATTTACGATAAATGAATGGTCAAGGCGTGAATGAAGTTTTATTACGACCATTGCTTTAGAGGGTAAAGTACCACTCTCCTCATCGCCTAACCTGGAAATATCAGCTTTCGTCGGAATTTTCCTTAAACCCAGTAACTGGACAGCTGACTCCGTGATGAACGAAGCCTGAGAGCCCTGATCAATTAGCGCTCTTAATAAAACAAATGCCCCAGTTTTGGTTTCGACCTCGACCAAGGCCGTGGCCAATAGTGATTGGCTATGAACATCCGAAAAACATGAAACAATAGCATTGGTGGACTCACTTGGCGAATTGGAAGTTGTTGCTGCTGCAGCAACAACGTTATTATCGTTGTCAATCGGTTTAGGAACAGATTTAGGATGTAATAGAGAATGATGTCTTTTCTGGCATATACGACATCTAGTCGACCGGCAGCATGAATATGCGGCGTGATTTTCACCTAAACAATTGAAACATAATTTATTAGCCTGAACATAACTCCGGCGCTCATCAACGTCCTTGGTTGCAAATTTTTTACAATTACATAATTTATGTGCCTCCGAACAAAATGTGCAAGATACTGTGGCAATATGAAGCACCTTGACATTACGGTTGCCATTTTGTTTCTGTATCTTAGTGTCCAAAAATTCCAAGGACTTAAACCGATGTTCCAAGAATTTTTTTAAATCGGACAATTTGGGCAGTTAATTTGAAAACTCGCTAACTTTAACTTCCCACAACTTCCGCGACTCTGTATCTAATTTTAAGCTTACTATATAAATTATAATAATGTCCCATGTACTAATATCCACACCTAAATTAGTTAAAGCGTGTAAACACTCATTAGTGTTGTCTAAAAGATCCTTTAATGCCAAAGCTGATTCGTTTTTACACATATATTGATTAAATAAACGCTTTAAAATACAATTACACAAGTATCTTTTATTATTAAATCTTTTTCTATTTGTTCCCAACATTGCTTATAATTAGCTGCAGTAGTGGGTACCTGACGAATCAATTGCTCCGCCTCACCAGTCAAATAACCCTTTAAGTAGTGTAATTTTTGAACGTCGTCTAAGGTCTCATTTGAGTGTATTAACGAAACAAACAGGTCCCTAAAAGTTGTCCATTCGTTATATTTGCCCGAAAAGGTAGGAATAGTAATTTTTGGTAATTTAACTGATGTGGACGTGAACGAACCACCACCACTCGCTTGCAACTCTGATTCATTTAGCATGGATAATTTATTTTTTAAATCACATTTATAATCTATATATAAATCTTCGACTTTGTCATAGAGTTCTTCTTTTATGTAATCGGATGCCTCTAATTTATCCCAATCCGAATCCTGGATAATTTTTTGATGTGTAATTTTAAAATCATTCCATAACTGTTCTAAATTCTCGAGTCTAGTTTTAATGTACTGCTCCGCAATTCGCTCCTTTGGAGATTTCTTAAAGTTAAGATGAGCCTTTGAAATTCTTTTGTATATGTCCCTTTGTATATTAAAGTTTGCCATCTTATTTCTGTTAGGAAAAATTACTTAAGAACTAATTTACAGATTCAGTACATTCAAATTTCAAATAATATAAGTGTTTAGAATTTCAAACTTAATCGCACATAAATTATAAAATTCCAAGTGTAATTCCTTCTATGTATCTTGATCGAAAATTTTACAAGTCCAGCAAAATTACGAAATTTTCAAAGTGTTTACAAACTTGTTATATTGATATAAAATCGGGCATAGATTCCTCGTATAAACACTTTTTAAACAATTATTCTAAGTCTAATATTAGTAAACTAAGTTTTTCAAAGTTCTACGCAATTGTAAAATGACACTTTAACACTCAAATTTATTTTGCTGTCGAATTAATATTATGAAAGTACTCACAGTTTTGTCCGGATCACTATTCACAACACTTATACTTGCATGCAGTTGCAGTCCTTTTGCCAGCGCCGGTATCGATGATGCAGCCACACGGCGAAATGGCTCCTCCACACGTCGGGAACTCGTCTTCGTTCGTTGCCAACTTCCGCTTGATGTCTTCCACTTTGACAGACGATGCTGCTCCCCGCAGTTAGCAGCACTATCGGCAACAATCCGCTACCGTGTCAGCGCCGCTTGGACCAAACACCAGTCACTAAAGCCGTATACTTCCGGCGTGAAGGACCAATGTTTAAATCCCAAAAAAAAAATGCTCCTTGCGAATATAAATAAAACTTCAGATTCACCAAGGCAAGTCAACAACATTTATTTTCACAAACACCTTTATAGAATTTGAATAGATCTTAACATCGCGACTTGCAAAACTCGTGTCAAAATTCAACGCCATCTATGAATAACTAGCCACACTACAATTACTGCTAAATATACATAATTAGTACAGCGCCATCTATTAACTCACACCATTATTACTAACACATATCGCTTTATGAGCGAGCATTGAATATCCTCATCTATTACTTGATCATGATGTAGAGAACGACATTACGAATACGTGTTTGTGTGGCTTTGGTACATAAGAAACCAGAGTTATATCCTTTTGGAATCCAAATCTTGAAGAACTTTCCTCTCGTGTTAGCTTGAAACACAGTGGAATGCAAGTTTTCTGGCTCTCAAGGTACCAACTACTGTTAGTTTATGTTTGAATAGTAAATTTTCAGTAGCTTCGTAACTGGTGAAAAAATTGTCCATTGTTATATTTCTTGAAGAGCCAGAAACGCAATTCACCATACGATCGTCGATGTCATAGGGTTTGTTGCTGACCGCGAAAGGACTATTATCTGGTTGTTTACCACAGTAAATCTCTAAATGCATGGTGTAATATGTTTTTGCATCTACAAGGCATATATTTTTATTCCATATTTGGCAGGTTTAGATGGAATATATTGACGGAAACCACATCTAACCCGAAAGGCAACTAACTCTTCATCTAGTGTTAGGTATTCAAAAGGTGTATACGCATTTCGACAAATTTGGACAAAGATCTCGAAAATGTCTCGGATTGGTTCCAAACGATCAGTCTTTATTCTTTCTTCCCTTGTCGCAATATCATCAAATCTCAAATTATTGAGTAAAAACGAGAATCGATTTTTCGACATTGTGCAACGGAATATTTCAATTCCTGTACCATCATGAGCACATAAATCGTTGAGGTTTTGTCTACTAGATCGATACAATCTAGCTAAAAATAAAAGCCCTAAAACAGCTTTTATTTCAGATTTAGTTGTTTCAGAATACAGCGCATTTATGTTTTTGCCATCTGATGACTGTAGTTTAGATAAGCATATTCTTACATTGGTACATTTTACAAATATCTCTAGTACTTCATTGGAAATAAATGCTTCGAAACATTTCAAATGGGTTTTTTTATCTTTATATTGACTCTTTACTCCCGGTAAATGTGTAATTATATTTTCATTTTTTGTATGAATATTGGTCCTTAGCCGGTTCCTTTAGCCATTTAGTTTTGCAGTCTTTACCCATATAAAACTGGTGACAACTAGAAAACTCACCACCCGAAGTAATTTCTTCTTCTTCTCCTTCACTTTTACATTCAGACTGCACACTCAAATGATCCGATTCATCTTCGCTTCCAGGTAAAAAGAGCTCATCCAATTCGTCGTCACTTTCTTCCACAAGGACAAATGCTATTGCATTGTCACTGATTCGATGAGCCATTCCAAATCCAAGGCACCTGTTGATAACACGTTAACATAAAAAAACTGTCAAAAAAAGTAGAAAATAATATAGTTTTACTGCATTATACAAAAACACACTACTTACGTTTTAGACGACGTCCCAAACCACGTGGGGTTTGTGAGACCCTGAATCACTTTGGATACGTCTATCCGCTGCGCCCGCGACACGTTTACTAAATCACTGTCACTAGGCGGTTTGGCAACGTCGCAACTCCAGCTACTTAAAGCATCAGAGCAAGCGTGCTAATTTTAAAGAGTTAGACATTTTTGTTTCGCTGGGGGTTTATTAGACCCACATGGTGCACGCAAGGTTAAGACTATTGATATAAGAAAACCGCCGATCTGTGGGGGATTTCCGTTAAAGTTATTGCGTCTACAATAGATGCAATCGCACCTCAACTATTATTTTTAATACTAGTATGAAATCTGGTGTGTTTCCTGATTTAATGAAGCATAGTAAAGTAATACCTTTATTTAAATCTGGCAGTACATTGAACCCCGCTAATTTTAGACCTATTTCTGTACTGCCGACTCTTAGTAAAGTTTTTGAAAAATTATTCTTGATCAAATCTTAAATTTTTTTAATGTAAATAATTTACTTCATAAAAATCAATTCGGTTTCACAAGGGGTCGCTCGAAAACTGATGCTGGTGTTGAGCTTATTAAATATATCTATAATGCATGGGAGAATTCGTAGGATGCTTTGCGTATATTCTGTGACTTTTCCAAGGCCTTCGATTGTGTTCACCATGAAACATTTATCAGAAAACTTAAACACTACGGTGTAAGAAGTGATTCCATTAAATTTTTTCATATTTAAGTGACAGAACGCAAAACTTTGTCATTAATAGTATGAGTTCTTCCGGGTCGACTGTACAAATGGGCTCGCCTCAGTGCTCAATTCTCGGCCCCTTCCTGTTTCTTGTATATATTAATAACTTACCGTACATAGTAGGGGATAACCATGATATAGTGTTATTTGCTGATGATACTTCATTAATCTTCAAATTAAAACGATAGTTATTGAATAACGACGAAGTAAATAATGCTATAGCTAAATTAGTCAATTGGTTTATTGTTAATAATTTGCATTTAAATGAAACTAAAATTAATTGTATGAAATTCGTAAGTCCTAATGTCAAACATGTTAATACGAATGTAATTTTAAATGGGGAAGAACTGAGTCTTGTGTAGATGCAAAGCTTCAATGGCGCCCCTATATATCAAAACTAGCTAGCAGACTTAGTTCTGCAGCACATGCTGTAAAAAAGATTAGAACTCTTACCGGTGTTGAAACAGCTAGAATAGTTTACTTTAGTTATTTCCATAGCATTATGTCGTATGGTATTTTGCTATGGGGACACGCGACTGACACTGAAATTATATTTATTTTGCGGAAGAGGGCCATTACAGCAATATATAATTTAAAACCAAAAGAGTCACTGAGGCACTGACTGAGAAAAAAAATTTATATATTAACTCTGGCCTCATAATACATTTATTAAAATGTAATATATTGCAAGAAAACAAGTTTCGGGTCCCGCGCCTACATCACAGTGAACGAGTGAAGCTGGCCACACTGGTACTACCGTATGTCAGAGGAGTCACAGACAAGATTGGCTATATCTTGTAGCGAGCTTCAATTTAAGCATGTTACAAACCGCCGAAGGAGATTAGTCAATTTTTACCATCCGTCAAGTGTAATATCCCTCTACAAGATGCAGGAGTGCACAAGTTAGATTGTGAATGTGGTTTCTCAAAAAGAAAGAACATTTAGCTGACACAAAGCACCGACGCTCCGGGAAGTCAGCACTCTGCGAACGTGTTCAAGATCGTCCCCAACATTACATTAGATTTTATAAACCACAAATCCTTGCAAAAGAACACGGATTCCTACCAAGGATGGTACGCGAGGCTATTGTAATTAAAAAAAATATCCAAATTTCAATAGAGAAGACGGATGGGTGCTGCCATCTGCTTGAGATCCTATAATTAACAAAATTAAACCCAAACCCAGACATACCACTGCAAGAATTCATGATACTTTAAGCTCGTTTTGCGTAAATCAACCCAAAATTAATATTCAAAAACTGAAGGTAGCCGGACTAACTATGACATTGGGATATCAAACACCTCAGTTCCCTCCGTGACCATGGGTGCTTTAAAGCACCCGAAAAGTCGGGATAATAAAAATAAATTAAAGTAGTAATTAAACGCGATAAAATTCGTAAATATTAGTTATAATAGTAGTACAATAGACAAATTAGGTTAAATTCAAATTAAACTTTTAAAGGTAATATATATGTACATACGTACTTTATTTTAGATTTAAAGATACATTTATTCAAGTTTCTTTTATTCTACATAAAAAAGTTCGTGATTTTCATTGCTTCAATCGCTTTTAACTTCTCAGCATATGTTAGTTACTTACAGTTTTCGTTTGGAATTCATTTTCACTCACAATGTGCAAAGAAATACTCCCGAAACGAAGGCTTAAAGCTTATGATAGAAATAAGACCTTAATTGTTGTGTATTGTTTATATATGATGCCATTTGGTAAACACGTGTAAGCAATTACAATAGTCTACAAGGAACCTTTATTATTTGCACATTCATTTAAAATGACTCATTGGTAAATAATTGAAGTTGCAAGGGTCTTCTTCGTTACAACTTTAAGTTGCCGAGGTGCGATGCCCAAATTATTCGTTTAAGACAAAGAAGGTTTGTATTTTAAGTAAAAGAGGTTTTGGACTCCAAGTGGAAGGGACACAGAATTTTATAAATTTATAGAGATTATTACGTTGTCGAGGTTTAAGTTATCAAGGTTCTATACATCATGTATGCATAGTACACATTTTCATAACTGTTGTTTAATTGGGAAGCGAGATAGTAAACATAATAGTATATTGATTCCTCAGAGGGAGTTTCATAGCAAAGCTACATCAATGGATAAATATAAATCATTGATTTATCCTATACTGTTTTAACTATAACTCTGCCCTCTCAGCCCTCTTACACTTCGGCGTTTCGTAAATTTAGGTATTTTACGCTCCGAGATGGTGACGACCTACGCGAGCGATACTTTATTTCATATCTATTCACTCGCTCGCACTATGATACTGTGAGTATAGCGACTAAACAATCTTGGTCTTCCATTATACAAGTTTTCTTATAATGAGTTTAGTGGATGGAAAACAATTTTGTGTTTCATTTTTATATTATCTAATTTATTTGTTATTTTTATGATTGCGCTGCATTGGAAGACGTTTTCAAGCTACTGGACTGAAAATGATACGGTATTAACATCAATGGCGACTACATCACTCAGCTTAGATTTGCCGACGATATAGTTCTCATGGCAGAACGATTCTGCCTAACCTAAGCACTATGCTCAATGACCTCAATAGTGCCTCCAAACGGATAGGTCTTAAGATGAACATGGACAAAACAAACATCATGTTTAATGTCCATGTTACACCTATGCCTGTATTTGTTGGGAGCACTAAGCTCGAAGTTGTTGACGAGTACGTTTATCTGGGACAAATAGGCCGACTAGGTAAGTCCAACATCGACCGAGAGGTCAATCGACGGATTCAACTCGGCTGGGCAGCGTTCGGGTAATTACGATTACTTCCTCGTCAGGTATACAGTGCTGAGGGCCGCAGGTTCGAATCCCTCACGGAACAAGTATTTGTATGGACTACAAATAATTATTTCGGGTCTGAATGTTTGTCCTTGTGCAATTTATGTTTGTAAACTGCCCCCACGATACATGAGAAAGTCCTAGTGTGGAGGAAACTTTTAAAAAAATTAAAAAAAGAACAGAAAAATACCTCAAAACCTGAAAACGAAATTCTACAACCAGTGCGTGTTGCCAGTGATGACATATGGAACTGAGACGTGGTCCTTCAACGCTGGCCATATAAAGATACTCAAAGTCGCTCAGCGAGCTATGGAGAGGGCTATGCTCGGAGTTTCTCTGCGTAATAAACTTAGAAATGAGGATATCCGCAGTACAACCAGAGTGACCGACATAGCCCATTGGATTAGTAAGCTGAAGTAGCAATGGGCCGGCCATATAGCTCGAAGAACCGACAACTGTTGGGGAAAAAAGCTTCTCGAGTGGCAGACTCGTACCGGTAGCTGAAGTGTAGGGCGACCCCCCACTAAATAGAGTGACGACCAGGTAAGACATGCAGGAAGTCGATTGATGCAGGTGGTTCAGGACTGTGCTTTGTGGCATACCTTGGGTGAGGCTTATATTCAGCAGTGAACTTGAGAAGGGCTGTAATAGCGAATCTATTTGATATATTTTTTATTATTTACGAACCATAATATTGAAATAAGTACACATAAATTGAATAAAACTAAATTTACGGATTTTATCGCGTTTATTTCACTACTTTTACTTATTTTTAATTCCCGACGTTTCGGGTGCTTTACAGCAACCATGGTCACGGGGGGGACTGAGATGTTTGACGTCCCAATGTCATAGTTAGTCCGGCTACCTTCAGTTTTTGAATATTAATTTTTGATCCGATTTACGCAAAACGAGCTCATAGTATCATGAAGTCCTGCAGTGGTATGCTTAGGTTTGGGTTTAATTTTGTTAATTATAGGATCCCAAGCAGGTGGCAGCACCCATCCATCTTCTCTATTGAAATTTGGATGTTTTTTAATTTCAATAGCCTCGCGTATCATCCTTGGTAGGAATCGGTGTTCTTTTGCGAGAATTTGTGGTTTATCAAATTGAATGTAATGGGGGGGACGATCTTGAACATGTTCGCAGAATGCAGACTTCCCGGAGCGTCGGTGCTTCACGTCAGCTGTATGTTCTTTCACGCGGGTTTTTTATGGATCTTTTTCTTTGACCTATGTAAGAGAGACCACATTCACAATCTAACTTGTACACTCCTGCATCTTGTAGAGGGATATTGACTTGACGGATGGTAAAAATTGACTAATCTTCTTCGGCGGCTTGTAGTATGTTTTAATGGAAGCTCACTTCAAGATGTAGCCAACCTTGTCTGTGACTCCTCTGACATATGGTAGTACAGCAGGTACACGCTCGACTTTGGCCGGCTTCACTCGGTCACTGTCACGTAGGCGCGGGACCCGAAGCTTGTTGTCTTGCAATACTTGCTTGACGTGCTGAAGTTCGGCGGCCAGATGTTTTGTGTCACAGATCCCTCGTGCTCTCTGAAACAAAGATTTACCCACGGTAGCTAACTGTGAAGGATGATGGTGAGATTCACCATTTAAACATCGCTTGGTATGAGTCTTTTTTCTATACACAGTGTAACCAATTGTGTTATTAGGATTTCGAATGACTAAAACATCTAAGAAAGCTAAAGAATTATTTGCCTCTAACTCCATTGTGAATTGTATTTTAGAGTTTATAGAGTTAAGGTGGTTTAAAAATGCAGTTACTTTGTCAGATGGTAAAATTGTGAAAGTGTCGTCTACGTACCGCTTGTAGAATCTTGGATTTACGGGAGCAGTAAGAAGGGCTTTCTCCTCGAAGTCCTCCATGAATATGTCAGCGACTATGGGAGATACAGGTGAGCCCATCGCCACACCATCTACTTGCTTGTAGAACTCTTCCTTCCACAATAGATAGCCAGATGTGAGGCAGTGTTTGAGTAATACTGCATATTCAGCAGGCATGTTATTATATTCTAGCTTCCTAGTTACAATTGATATGCAGTCTTCAATAGGTAGGCATGTGAATAGTGACTGAACATCAAAACTGACCATAGTTTCATTTTTGATGTTCAGTCACTATTCACATGCCTACCTATTGTAATATTCAAAAAACTGAAGGTAGCCGGATTAACTATGACATTGGGACGTCAAACATCTCAGTCCCCCCCGTGACCATGGTTGCTGTAAAGCACCCGAAACGTCGGGAATTAAAAATAAGTAAAAGTAGTGAAATAAACGCGATAAAATCCGTAAATTTAGTTTTATTCAATGTGTAGTGTTCGCGTAAATTTAAGAAATCGTTAAGTACACATAAATATTTTAATTGTTTTGCAGTAATAGATTGTTAACTGATGTTGGTTAATAATTTATATCTACTTACGGTAGCATAGTGGTGTAAATAAGTAAATAGTACGGTTGCAACCTGTTGTATTAAATAAAATAACTAACTGTAACTAATATTTTTTATCGGTACTTACAGATATATACCATATTTTTTGTAAAAATATTTACCGCAACGGCATTCACCGAGCTCACCTTGAGTCATTAATTTCAGGCAGCACACACTTTTTATAAAACGCTTGTAACTTGGGTAACATATTTAAAATCCAAATTTTGTCGTCTTTGTAGATTTTTAGAACTTTTAATGCATAATCTGGGGCAGTCCATATGGCAAGCATGCAAACATTTTCATTCTCCATTATTATTTCTCCAGATAGAGGATATTTTTTTAACGTTTAGTGACACACTGATACTTGTATTTGTTTTTCCCCATTTTGACTGATAAGAAAGCTGAGCTAAAATCAAAATAACTATAATGAGTTAAATATCTGGTATAATAATTATGTGCGAACTTTACACTAATTGAAATATCCTGTACGAAAGTAAATACTTTCAACGATCATAAACTGCGATCGTAGTTGAGTTTTATTTCTTTGTGTTTTATGTGTTATTTCAAGCAATAAACGAAAAACATATAATTTCAACGGTGAGAGTGTGATTTCACACTTTCAAGTAATACTCTTAAACTTAACTTTAACTATCATTACCTATTTACGAAACCGTCAACCGGGGTAGGACCATACTTTTATCAGCGTAAAATAACAGCTTAATGCTGCTATTTTCATATGGTGAGTGTAGATAACTAGATATCCTTTTAACTGGAAATGAGACATTCCATCTTATACCTAATTTTTTTTTAATTTGATATATAATAAACATTGCAATTCACAATTCTTCGAAAAACTTACAAACTAAAAAATCTGATGCAAATACCCTTGACCAACAATGTACTTTAATTCGGTACTGCAAACATATTTAATTGTATAGTAATAGAATCAGAACGGTTGATCTTTTAACTTAATACGGTGAAATAATCCCTTAACATGTTATTACGTCCCAGAAGCGTGACGACAGTCACGCGACCACTGATTGTGTAGTTGCGTGCTCCTAATTCTATTACGACCCTTATTCTTATTTCATTCTACCTTTTTATGAAGAATTCGCCAAAGAAACGTGTGAAAATAAGATATTTTTACTTTTTTGGTTGGGTTCATTCTACCTTTTTATGAAAAATTACCAAAGAAACGTGTGAAAATAAGATGTTTTTACTATATTGGTTGGGTTCTTATAATTTAAACTTTTTATAGAATTAAGAATAACAAACCACTACACAGTCAACAAGTTCATGCAACTGTGACGGCCCAATATTATTATTAATAATTAAATTCAATATAAAGGGGCGTCAA